TTCGTGGTGATTCAGGGGACTGGCTCCTTGTCAAGCCCAATGTCTGTGTGGGGCGTTAGCAGACAGATACATGCTGGAGTCCATCCTGCAAGGTAGCAAGCCTCTTCTGCACAGAGGTCGGCAGGTGTGGTCCGAATCCAGACATCCCGGAGCAGTTTGGCCCCAAGTCAGAACTTTGGCACTAATGGGCTAACCTCAAATCCGAGGTGATTCAGGGGACTGGCTCCTTGTCAAGCCCAATGTCTGTGTGGGGCGTTAGCAGACAGATACATGCTGGAGTCCATCCTGCAAGGTAGCAAGCCTCTTCTGCACAGAGGTCGGCAGGTGTGGTCCGAATCCAGACATCCCGGAGCAGTTTGGCCCCAAGTCAGAACTTTGGCACTAATGGGCTAACCTCAAATCCGAACTTGGGATCAGTTAGGCTCAGGATAAGAACTCGTGTGGGTCCAACCCTTGGAAACACACAAGGGTGAAAATGACAAGAACAGGCTCTCTCCTTGCCAGCAATATAGGTTCTTCTTGGGACGCGCTGGGGTGTGCATTAACTCTGGGATTGAATCTACACCACGGCTCTGCATCTGGAAGGTGCCACCCGTTGCTTAGCTGCAGGACAGCTTGGACTTTCACTGGGGTGGAGCACCTGCTCTGCTCCAGTTAAGGTTGGGTAGAGTGCTAGCATGGACCTGGGAGCTTAGCACAAAGAGGGCACAGTTAAGGTTATTTTGTGGGGGTATTATCCGAATATACCCTGGTTTTCAGAGGTTTGCGTCAGCCACTCTCCATATCCTGGAAAGGTGGTCTGGGGTGGGCAAACTTTTGCTCTTTGTTAATGACATTTGGGACATTTATTTTTTTATCAAAGAGACTATTAAAAATTGCTTGGGTGCCACATTTTTCTCCTGGTTGATTTTGCGATAGGCAGTGAATTAAAATAAAAAATGGTTTCTGCTTTTTCCTCCATTCTCCTTAGTTATTCAGCCGAATTACCCATCTTTTAATAATAGTTAAAAACTGCCTTTTATTGCTGTTTCATTTATTTTTTGAAAGGTTTTTCCAGGGCGCTCCTTGTCCATAGCATCAAAGCACCTCACGGACATTGCAGACTCTTGCTAGCCATTCAGAGAGGCAGGGAAGTAATACTCCCCACATTCAAAGGAGAACACCGAGGCTCAGCGTGATTAAGTGACTTGATTGAGGCTACACATGCAGGATGTCAGTGGCAGAGCTTGGAAGGGAAGCCATGTCATTATTAATTATATTACAGTCGTCCCTCAAGGCCTCAATCAAATCAGGGCCGTGTTGTGCTGCACAGACATGCAGTGAGATCCTGTGCTGATCTTCCTGCCTCAACAGTCAAGACACAGAACGGGTGAGAAATAAGTGCTCTTCATTCCCATTTCACAGATGGGAAACTGAGGCCAAGAGAGACTCGCTCAATATCACACATAAAGTCAGAGGTAGAGTTGGGAAAGGAACCTTTTGTGAGGGTTATGAGTTAAAAACTGGGATCCCTGAGGTAGCTGTTCCATCCATGGCCTGTGTTTTTGTTCTCCACAGACGGGAAGCCTATTTCCACGGAAGTGATTGTGTTAGGTCGGACAAACCTCCTCATTCCTCAAGCACAGCCCCATCACTCCGGCGTGTACGTCTGTCGGGCGAACAAACCCCAGACCAGGCAGTTTGTTACGGCGGCGGCAGAGCTGAGTGTCCTCGGTGAGTTGACAGAATAAACATTGCAGATGTAAGCCCCTCTCCGGATAATTGCTTTTCTCTTAGACTCCCGCTCAGAGGCTCCCCCAGAAGCGATGCTCGCAGCTCCCTGGCTGTGTCTAAGAGGGGAACGTAATTAGAAGAAAGCCCTCCGGTTCCAATTATTCAATCGGTGCGTGGAATAGTTCTCGGTGGCATTATTACCATTTCATTGTTTTTTAACGTACTGAGGCATTTTTATTTCTTTTTGCACAGTTCCCCTGTAGAAATCAGAATGCGCAACTAACAGCCAAGACTAGGGACAGGGAACGGAGGCTGCGAGTAGATATAGATTTGGGGGGGGCTAGTCTAGCCCAGCAGGTTTCAAACTTTTTTTCTCAGAAGAAAATTGTGGATGTCACAACCCAACATAGTTTGACTGGAGTGTGGGCTCCGGGGTGGGGCTGAGGAGAGCTTTGGGGCATAGGAGGGGGCCAGGGCTGGGGCAGGCCAGGTGGGGCTTACCTTGAGCAGCTCCCAGTCAGCGGTGCAGCAGGGGTGCTAAGGCCTCTTCCTGCCTCTCCTGGCACCGCAGACCAGGCTGCGCCCCAGAAGCAGCCGGCAGCAGGTTCCCAGCCAATGGGAGTGCGGAGCTAGTGCTCAGGGCAAGCTCTATTCCCTCCACCCCCTCCAAGCCAGGCCTGTTGCCAGCCACTTCTGGGGCGCAGCGCAGTCTGTGGTGCAAGACAGGCAGGGAGCTGCCTTAGCCCCCCCCACTGCTCACCTGATCCCCCTGCATCAACGAGACCTAGTGCCCAACATCCCATCCCCCAGTCCAGGGTTGTGACCCATCGTTTGAAAACCACTGGTCTACCCTATGGTGTACTGGCAGCTGTTTCTGACACTATGTGGCCTGGGAGGAAAGGGCTTGTCTTGGCTTTTTCTTTTACATGTTCATTTCTCTGCTCTTCCTTCAGCGCCTCCCAGCATCACCCAGTCCCCCGAAACCATTTCCCGCACCCGCGCCAGCACGGCCCGGTTTGTCTGCAAAGCAGAAGGGGAGCCAGCCCCCGTCATCCATTGGCTGAAAAACGGCGAACCCCTCCTCTCCAACGGCCGTGTGAAAATTCAGAGCAGCGGCAGCTTGGTGATCAACCAGATCGGGCTGGAGGATGCCGGCTATTACCAGTGCGTGGCAGAGAACAGGCTAGGCATGGCGTGCGCCACAGCCAAGCTCTCGGTCATCGTGCGAGAGGGCTTACCCAGTGCTCCCAAAAAGGTGTCGGCTGTCTCCCTCTCCAGCACCACCGTCTTAGTGTCCTGGGAGCGCCCCGAGTACAACAGTGAACAGATCATTGGCTTTTCCCTGCATTATCAGAAGGCCCTGGGTATGTGCTCGCGGTTTGCGTCATTGGGGTTCGTCACCCCCACGGTAGAACAGCAGCGATAGCACCAACCCACGTCCTGCACACCCCTTTTGGGGCTTGCGCTTCGTTCTTTATTTTGTAGCAAGATCGTGTCCAGACAGAAGGGCCGTTTGCGTGTTCTTATCACGTCAGACAGGGTGTGACCAAACTGGGTGTGTTCAGCCGCAGCCTGGAGGCAGTGGCATTCTGGCGTTTGCAGCCTTTTCTTTGCTTGTCTCTCGTGCTATTGTCTTCTCCCTGCTAGGGGCCGATAATCTAATGATTCAAAGGGGTTTCAAAGGTCTATAGTGCAGCAGTGTTTTGGAAGCTCAATTTCTATGGCAGATTTGTAGCTGCTCCCCAACTCTCCCATGCACACTTGTTAACACTGGTGTGATACTCCTGGGATGGAGCGAAGGATTCGGAGCCTGAAGACCATCTCTGTCGTTGCACGCCCACTTTTGCACATGCAGTTCATTGCACCCGCCAGTTTTGCACGTGCATATTGGGTGTTTGGGTGCCCATCTCCCCATTCTGCTTTTGCAATGCAGTTGGTTGCATGAGCAGAATGGGCTGTGCACAAGTGGAAGGCTGGAATGAAAATTTGAGTTTGAGCT